TGGACTTTCTTTGTAAGATTACTTATACTTGTATAAGATGATTTGTAAGATACTTGCAAAGATGCCATCCACATCAGTGAATTTGCCAAAACTTTATCAGGATGAATCAGATTCAAAAAATCTTTCCTGCTGTATTTGAAGTTATCTGCTTTCCTGACGTGTCTTCTGCGTCATACAGAAACTTTTATTCATTGAGGCATATAGTCATGAGGAGCCTTTTTCTTTCTCTTTAAACTGATGGAAGTCTGTCATCACTAACTTCATTGGAGTCCCATCTACTCACAGGTATCAAATTTAATCTAGCTTGCGTTGAACTGTGATCTTTGTCCCTGGTTGCATACATGTAAGTCTTGCATATATTTCTTACCTAGCAGTAGAATGTTAAGTCCTTTTAAAAAAAGCTTAGGATTCTTTTTAGGATATTTGACTGTAGCACGACTCTTCTCTGTCTTGCCTGGATAAATCTCAAATTTCAACCAACTTTTATAGGGACTTGCACATCTCAAAGATAGTAGATTTCGGGGAGCTTTGTGAAACTAAAGAGCTGGCTTGAAAAGGCTCTCTTGGTGGCCTTGTTGGAAGAGTGAGAGCTCAACTTACGCTCATAGAAGAGTGCACTGGGTTGGACACTGACCCAGGTGCCAGGAGAGTTTCAGGTGGAAGTTTCCTTTTGCTGGACAGTGGAAATTGAACCATGATATAGAGTTCTGATTTGTATTAGTTTTGCTATTTGTACCAATACTTTAAAAATCCTTGGCAAAGAGGGAGAGAGTTTGCTGTCATCACTAGCAGCTTCTTATTGAGCGAACAAGTGAACAGAGCATGGAAATGTATAATATGCCATTTCTTTAGGGTGAAACAAAATGATGCTAGTGTAAAATTGGGTGAAGTGGCTGTCAGTTTCTCACTGGAATAGGTAGCACAGTTTTTCTATTATATCTTTATTCTCTTTTTCTGTTCTCTCTTCTGCAGGCCTGTTGGCTTTCATTAATCCCTATATTCAGATTGTCTTTCTGGAGCTGAATCATGGTTCATGTTCTTCATTTATCACGTGATCCATGTGATAAATTTATGGCCAACATAGCTAAAATCATATGTGTAGTTGCCTACCTTCACTAGAGATAATAACCGCTGCTCTGAAGTCTTTTTCTGTAAGGTGTTTTTCAGGGACTTTGATATGACCTGGATTACTATTGGGAATGATACTGCGATGGGTAAACAAGAATAATGTTTCTGACTTTAGCACTAACTTACAGCATATACTGATTTTCCCAGTCACTGGCCTAAAGCTACTAACTTAATGTGAATTCTGAGAACAGCTGTGACTCAAAGTTGAGTTAACAGTAGTGTCACCATTACATATTTCAGCTGGTCTAAGATGGGATTCCAGCAATGCCTTTGTTTATTTGCCTTGCCTTTAGTATTAGAAGCTCTTTCAACAATTCCATAGAAATTTCCCCTTGTTTTCTAAGGTTATTTAACATCTAAGGACAAGAACTATGTGAAGTTGTAGGTATTGTTGACAACAAAAGATAGACAACAACAAAAGAAAGTTGTAGATATTGTTGACAACTTGGAAGTCATGGTAAATAAGTGTGGGGAAAGGAATAAAAGGGGAAGGAGATCTGACTTGCAATCGTATTCTTTATTTCTAGTGTTAGTAAGATGCAAAAGTACTTGACATATTTAAAAATATATATATGATTCTTATATATTAATTATGAATTATCAAGGAAAGTTCTTTCTAACTTTCTGTGTAAACTTCAACTTCTTTTGTGAAAACTCTGTTTAGTGTCAGATACAGCAAAAGGAACCTCCAGATGCTTATATGCATTAGTTGGCACTTTCTTGAAACTGATATATTAAGGTATCAAAATGGAGATAGGCTTTTATCCTAAGCCTGGCCTAGGCCTGATCACATGGCAATGAATGATAGAAAAGCAGCGATGGCCGCAGCTCCCGCGTGCGGTGCTTGCCTGCCTTTAGTCCTTGCAGGACCGCGTACATCTCAGGCATTGCACATCTCCTTTTCAGTCTGCCTGGCTGTTGCACTGCTGAAATAGTAATAGAGCGTAGAAATAGAGTAGCATATTAGCCTTAATGTTTCCACTGTACTTTAATGGGTATTTTTAATAGCCTAATTGTGTTACTATGGCAGTCTGTTGGTTGTTTTTTTTCTTTTGCTTTATTGTTTGACATCAGGATATTTTCAGAAAAATGAATGATTTTTTTCATAATTACTGGCTAATTCTTTTTTTTGTTCTTACTGATCTCTCTTAATCTGTACTAAATGCTTCTTCATGACAGCAAAGAGATAAGAGGCAAAAGTTTAGCAGGCTTTTTACGGGTTTTTTTTCTTGTTGAAAGCTTCTTCCTCATCTGTGTCAAATATATGTAGTTTATCTGTGTATGTAAATATAAAAAACATGTGTATGTGGTCATTTACCAAAGGAAAATGGAAACTAGTCTTCCATTTAATGAACTACTAGGATTTCAACTGTATTAACTTGAACTGAATTGAGATAATTCTAGGTCAGGAAGGCTTTGTGTTCATAAAGGAAGAACAAAAAACTTCAGAGGTTGATTAGCTGAAGTGTATTTTATATACTATATTCTGTTTGTATCTGCATGTTTTAGTAGATCTAAAATGCAAGTAACTTTGTAGTGTGCTGCCGTAGATGAGTACAGATAATCTAATTTTACAGTAGCTCTCACGGTCTTTAATGTAAATCAGTGACTGATTCTATAACGACCTTCATCCTGCAGACATAATGTGTGCAAATTCCATTTGCTTGAAGAAATAGGTGGTATAAATGTTCATCTTTAAATGTTGAAACATATTTTGTGTAGCAGTATTGTAGGAATATATGAAGTTTAGCATCTTTGTAGAAAAAGATACCCTATATAAGTCAGTAAATAGGCACAATTATGGATTTATCTGACTGGTTAAACTGAAGCGGGCTATGCATTTTGCTACACAGTAGAGCGAGTTTTTGATTCAGCACACTTATACTTCAGTTACACCATGCATAGTCTGTAGCTTTAGTTTATTCGAAGCAGTAAAAAAAGTGCAAGAAAGCTTTACTGATGCTGTCCTGCTGCTCCTTACAAAGTCCTCTGAGAAGCACTGCAGAGCAATCAGCAGGCATGGGGAGGCTGGCCAACCACACAACCTGAGGATCCTTATTCTCCTACAGGAGGTTGTGGAAGCGCAGGATGGCATCACCTCAGAATTGAACAGCTGAACTTTTACTGACTTAACTTGGCTTTACTTGCATATTATTGCTCTACCTTTTACATACTAAATTTCTGACCTGAGGTGTGTTGAAGATCTAGTTGTATTCTGTTCTGTAATAGAATTGAATAGTAGTTGGGTCAAATGTGTATGTATTAATTACACATCTAATATTTGTATTCAGCTCTTTTTAGTTAATATATTCAGGACCTTTTTTTCCCCCTTGACAAATGTCAGTCTGAATCCAAGCAACTGAGAGGTTTCTATGATTTTTGTGCTGATGGCCTCTTAGACTTAGCAGTGTTGCAGAATTTGTTGAGTTATGAAAATGTGCATTGGATTATATTTGGATATACTTAATTGGGAGGTGAATGGAACACATTTATGTCCATTATTTGGAGAAGAATAAAAAAGAATATGGCTGAAGAAATAAGTGTAGAGACCCAAAAGGGTGGTAAGAATTGGTATGAAATTTATGTTAAACAAAGCTCTCAGTCACCTGAGTGTGACTTGCAGTTGTGCAAGAGATTGGTATCAGGAAAAGCCTTGCCCAGCCTCATAGCTTGATGGTTTGGAGGGCAAACATGAGTTGCTGCTGAGGATACTGTGACATTCATATGCAGCGATCGTGTGGATCCATCACTCTGGCCCTCCTTCCTTTTCCTTTAGTTTTCACTGGAGCAGCAGTCTTTGGCCTGTCCTATCTTTCCTCCTAACACCCACCACAGTTCACCTTGTTTTCTAGCAGATGGGCTTCAAGGAGCATTAACTCTCAGCTGAGTAATATTCTGTTTCTGAAAGCGGCTGGCCCTAACTCTTCTTGCTACCAAGTAATAGGGATGGTTCTGCGAGTGCAACTACACCCTTTGGAAATGAGGCAAGGTTGCAACCTTTTGACTAGGAACATTCAAAATCCTAATCACTTCTTTGCTTTTATTTTTGGCAGAAAAATATATTAAAAGCTATTTGTTACTTCGGACTTAGAGGAGACAAAAGATTTGCATCCTTAGATCCAAGGAAGGGGAGAAAGCAAAATATTACAAAACCCTCTGAAGTTAACTCAATTTAAAATTCTGTAATTTAAGCAATGTTTCCTGAAGAATGTGCCATGCTATTGATCAGTAAATTGTGTTGAAATAGTGATACCAAAATACTATTAAATTTCTATGCAAAACTCTACATCTTCCTAATGATCATGGGGGAGAAAAGTAAATTGCAAATTCTAAAGTTATTTTCTTACATAACTTTATTCTCTAAGTAGTTAACTTTGAACCATGTAGATTAAATGTATTTAGAGTCTTTCTTTGAAAATATTCAGGTGCGAAACTCCAAAGGGCAAGGTTTTCATAACACATGTTTTTGAGCCTAATGAATGTCATTTTTAACATAATTGTATTGAACTGTCTGGTCTAGTTTCAGATTATGACCTAAAATGGAATATTCTGAATATTAAAAAAAAAGAAAATAAATGTAAAGATGTGTTAGAATTTAGATTCAGCAATGTCTATCTCTGACTATACAGCTGTGTGCTAACTTCCTCCTTAAAAAGGCTTGAACTTCATATATTTATATGAATATTTATTGACTATTTGCATATTTATATCAATGCATTTTATCTACCATATGCAGCAGCACATAAATTTCTTGGCAGGGGGGAGGGAAATTTGTGAAAAGATAAGTGCTAATAAGCAGAGCAGGCAGATCACTCGTGTGAAACCAGATAATGTTCAAATCAGCTTGATTACTTTACTTTCCCCTCTTCTAGGGAACAACCCATCTTCAGTACCCGAGCTCATGTCTTCCAGATTGACCCAAACACTAAGAAGAACTGGGTTCCCACCAGCAAGCATGCTGTTACTGTGTCCTACTTCTATGACAGCACAAGAAATGTCTACAGGATAATCAGTTTGGATGGCTCAAAGGTAAACTGTCTTTCAGAGAACTTGTTTTCTGATTGACATTTTTGCTTGTTTGCTTGTTTTCCCGTCTGCTGTCCTTGATGTATTTTCTCAGATACCTGTGTGAATGTCTACCTGAGAAAGGGATTACTTTATAGAAGTGTTTAAGTGTTCACTGGAATATGTTGTTTTCCATGCATTCATATTTAATAAATATATTACCAAACTTTAGCAATGGCCTGTTACTTTGATTCGAAAGGCATTCCTCGTGAGGAGTGCTAAAAATTACAAATAAGTTTACAAGAATCTGTGTTCATCTTTGTTTTTTATCATTGGTATTAACAATATGAAGGACATCTGTTTGGTGCCAATAATCACTTTGTAAATCCTTCTTTGTTACATAATCTTCCCTTTTTTTTTCTGTAGTGATTGTAATGATTCCCTCTTAATAAAGCTGTCCGTGGTAAGCTTTTATTAAAACTCCCTATGAGTGGAGATGATGTCCTCATCTTTAAAGTGGGTATAAAAACTAGCTTTGCAAACAGCATTTCAGAAATCTCTGAAATAAGGGCATTAAAGGTATACCAAGTGTAATCAAAAGCTCTAATCCTTTCGAGAGATTTTTTTGCTTGCAACTCCTGGAGTTGTACTAATTCATGATGATTGGAATTAAAATATTCTGTTAGAGCATAGCAGCATTCATAGATGTTTCTTGGCTGTTACTGAAAGCTAAAAACCTCTCTTTTTAATATCTAATATATTTTAATTAAGGAAGTAAAATTTCTAGCATATAAAAGTACCTAGGAATTTTCAGTCACAGATCTCTATACAGTGTACTTCAGGTGATCTGAAATGCTAATATCAACACAGCAAAAAATTCTTGGTAAGTTTAATTCTTACTTTGTTTCTTTCCTTTCCAGCCTTTCTTCAAATGGCTTTGGGTTCTGCCAACTAATGCCTGTTTGTAAAAGACTTTGAGATTGAGACAAGATGCTAGATGAAATTGAGGCTAGTAGTTGCGTTCTGTCGTATCTAAATTGATCTCTTCAGTTTGCACAATATTTTTTTTGGATATCCACTGCTTTTTTTCCTTTGTTGAAAGCTACAAATCTTTAAAAGTGGTTGTTGAGTTGTGTTGTTAAGCATTTGTTAGTTGTTTGTTCTTCATGTACTGAAGCATTTCTTCTGCATTTACAGAACTATTGGCAATGTATATTGATAATGCAATCTGTCCCTCCTATTTTCTCTTTCTGAGATTGCTGCACCTTTGATATATCATGCTTCAATGAAAGCAGTATCTAACTGGGATTTGGGGCTTCAGTCATGGCTAGGGCCTATTGTTTTCGGTAAAACCAATGCTTTAGAGCCATGCTGCTCCAAGGTGTAACGTATGAAGTGCTATGGCACCTATAGAAGAGTTTAGTGCTATGGGACCCATGGATTTTCAATATATTTCCTTGAGGGCTTTTTCTCCCCTAATTATAGCACCATCTTTTAACATCTCTGTGCGTATAAAATGCAGTAAGTATGAAGGGCTAAATAAAAATATAAAGGATTGCATTTGGAGCACACCCAGATCATCTGTGCTCTGTGGTGTACAGTTGGCTGCCAGTAATATGATTCACATCAGAGCCTGCAATGCCTTGTTGCGTCCATTGGTCAGACACTGGTATTAAATTTTCGAAGGAGTAAAGACCGCAATTTAATTCCTCAGTTTAGAGTTTTGAAATGAAATTGAATGAAGATTTATTTTTAACAAATATTTTCAAAATATTTCAGATTAAGTTGTTGCCACCTGCCAGAAAAATTTGTCAAGCCAAACTTACTACTTTGCAATTCTCATGTGCCTGGCTCAGTGGCAACAAGTGTATGATCTGGCTATGTTTTATTGAAATCCTCAGTGCTGCTGGGTTTGTTGTGCCCTGGAGGTTGGTACCTTAGAGAGAATGAAGTGCCCATGGGCACTCAGTTACTGCAGCTCAGATGCTGAGCAGTAGTTAGCAAGTGATAGCAACTCAAGGATTTGCCCATTCAGACTGTAGTAAGGCATCTTTTGAGAGAGAGATACTTGAGGTTTGAATCCTAACCACGTTTCTGCCTCCCTCCTTTGCCTCTTGCTGAGGCCCTCTTCTTTCCTGAGGATGTCTGATAGAGCAGTAAGGGAACTTTCCGAGCGTGTTTTGTGCAGCTCTGGAGGATGATGCCTTAGGTACTCCTTGCTCTGCAAGAAGCTGAGTGTTCTGAGTCAGAGCAGAAAGTAATCTGCCATGAGAGCTCTTTGTATCAGTTGCTATCAAATTGGGTTTTCTAGATTGTAAATCAAACTAAAAACTTTTCCAGTTACCATTCAGAAAATAGTTTTAAGCAAAGTAATTTAGGTCCTGGTTTGAAGGGGAAAAACACAAGCTACACATGATTTCTTTCTACTAACTTTTGCACTGATTGTGTCAGGAGCATCAATAGATCTTCTTGAAAACAGAAGGATGTTTTTAAGATGTGATCTTTCCTCTTGGCTGAGGGGCACTACCATACATTGCAGATTGCCGCCAGAATTTGTCTATGCAAGTCTCTGGTGTGTTTTGTGGGAAAGTACTTCATTTGTTTTTCTTGATTCATGAGCCACATTTGGGTGAGGCAGGTTGTATTACATCATCTGTTCAGCAAATTAAAAGGTTTGTATTCCTTCTCAACTTGACTGAGGTTGATTTTTTCCTATAAAAACAGATCATGGTTTTTTGTTTGCCTTTTTGGAGGGGGAGGAGGGGACTTAATATTGATTAATGTCTTTATATTAATATGTCTTTTTATGAATATTAGAATAACTCCAAAGGATGATATTCTCCTATATGATACAGGCTTTTTTAAACCTGTTCACTGCCTCTCTATAATGTTGTTCTCTGACACTATCTCCTCTTAAAATATTCGTGAAAGAAATGCATTACCCTCTAACTTGAAAATCATAAGGTGTACAGTGTATGGATCTTATCTTACAATCATATAGGATATCTTGATTCCTGTGACCCATGTCAGATGGATCCTGATCTAAAATGATAACTTGGTGTCGCTTCAAGCTGGTTTCTGTAACCTCTTGAGTAAATATCTTCTATGCAACCTTTGTCTCGTGCCACTCTAGGAACTGAGAGGAGGCCTGAAAAATAAAATCTCTTATATAATATGACATGACAACACTTAGCAGTTGTTGCTAAGGTTTTCAGTTCTCATTAATTATATAATCATTTCATGTCTTCTTGGAAAAAGGTATCTTAGTACTTCTTTCTCCTGGGCGATGGAAGCAAGTCTCCACTGACAGTACAGGCAGATGTTAAGATTATTCCAGTAGGCCTGTTCTCTTCTCCATTCAGTCTCTGGCAGCCTCTGAGAAAAGGAGGAGATGCTCCTGCACTACTAATTAACTCTCTGATAACACTTCCATAAATGAAAGACTGAAAAAGTAATTTGTGCTTGTCCAGAACACAAAGATTACAGAAAAGTGGCTTTTCAATCTGTAGGTTCCACAAGATGCATGCGTTTAGTGAGCCAAAAGGCACAATGTGTGTTTCTGCAGTAGAGAATCTTTGACAACAGTTTAAAATAAGCTAGCACATTAAAGTGGTAATCTGCTTAATGTTAAATATAGATTTCAGGGAGAACCTTTAAACCTAGGTCATTAGTGATTTTTCTCCTTTGAAAAAGTAGTGAATATGTTGATATTATCGTCTTTCATGCAAGATAAAATCATTTTTGACTACTACTGCATATTTTGCAGCTGTTGGGTGTGCAGTCAGTCAAAAGAACAGATTAAGCATGTGCCCTATTTTTTCATAGCTAAACTTCTTTGAAAGGAAAACATGAAAGCTAGTTTATTATTCCAGCCAAATTTGGAGATGATAAAATCAGTTTTCTTCAAAGGCTAAATGTCTGCCTGTCAGATCCACTCTGTTCTCTTTTTAAGATATCTTTGTACATTTATACTAACAACATTCTTGAAAGTTGGTGAAATATCTGACACTTCTTATACTGGTGACTCGACAGTGAAATCTTGTGTAAAGGAAAGCAGTTAACATGCTACCTATCCGAGTAGACAATACAGATCTCATTATAAATTCTAATTAAAAAATACTGAAGATAGAGTTCAAAAAACTAGTATTTTTCATAAGTAGCTGGCTCTGCTAGTAGTGTAGAGCGTATCTACGGCATGCTCTAGCTTTCTACTTTATTGCATGGTAAATGTGCTTAAGAGATCTAGCATATTGCTACTTTTTGTTTAGAGAGAATTAAGCATTTTGATTTCCTTACAAAATGGCTTTAATGAAGGATTCTTCTTGTATCAGTCTTCGGATAGTCTTTACAGTGAGAAACTTCTCTTTAGAGCAAATACTTGCACAGGAATGGAGCCTCTTCCTCTGGAGGAAACTAAACGGTAGAGTGAGAGCAGGAGGCAATTAGGCAGTTGCTGTTAAGTGCCGATGAAACAGATACCCCGCTGTGGCCTGGGTTGCCCCTGCCGGGGGCTCTTGCTCAGCCGTCCTCGTGGGCGCTGAGTCAGTGCGCACGCTGAGCCACCCAGGAACTGGCTGCTTCCTGCTGTGTCAGCAGATTGCAAGCAGTCTCTGGCTGGGACTTCCACCAGATGATTTCAAAGGGAAAGTTTCTAGCAGTGATAGCATGTGAGAAAATTAGAGCTCCAGAACACTACCTTCCCAAGAGAACTGTTCATCTCCACTGTCTCATGTTCTCTCAGTTGTGTGCAGCATAGGCAGCCCTCCTTCAGGGTCAGTGAGAGGGTGTAGCACAAATTGCAGAGGTGATCTTTACTTAGCAATAAGAAACTTTGTGGACACTTAATGCTGGAGATGGTGCTCCAGTCTCTAGTAACACAGCAGATCTTAGGTTTTAAACTGTCATGTGAGGTACTTGCAGTAGATCTTTTATCTGCTGTGAGGATATTGACAATAATCTTTGGAGTGGAGTAAGTGACATGTAAGGAAGATGCAACAAGCAGGATTTTAGTGACATGGAAACCACTGCTATCATGGAAGACTTCATACTGATGTACTTTAACTGGACGGTTTCACATTACAATTTTAGAATATATTAGACAGGCTGTAATGCATTGAAAAATCAGATAAAACTCTGAAAATTCATGATAAATCTTTAGCTGGGTTCAGCTGGAATCAAGTTACCATCCGGCAGTTGTGTTTTCTGATTATATTAGCAAAAATGTATGACAGAAGATGTACTTGCATTCTATTCATATCATAAAATATAGGAGAAAAATGTATTCTAACCATGGTGGTTCTTCTGTACTTGCTGCGTGACCTTGTTATGTATTCACGGGTGTGTGTTTATAAAAGAAAAAATCTTGCGATACAGAAGCCTGTGAAATAGGTTTTCAGTGAGAATGCATTTCTGCATGTTGTATAATGCAACAAATTTGCAGTGCAGCTTGAGAGATGTCTTAGGGGGCAAAGAAATATTCTTGTGAGGCAAAGAAGAGATTTGCTAGTTCTCATCTTGCTAGCCTATGTGGATGTTTTAATGGACCTTTTTTAGGCATGCCAACTAAATTACTACAAAGAGGTGATCCACCCAGCTCTTACTGCTGTTCCAGAAATGGTGTCAGTGCATGCTCTCCAAATTGTAGCCATGAGGGGATTAGAAGAAAACTGTTTCCTAGTTGCCAGGGCGCGCTCATTCATGATGCACAAGTACTTGTCTAATTTTCAGTTATGAGTAGGGTTAATCTATAAAACCTTTACAAGTGTTATTTTGTTTCAGGCAATAATAAATAGCACTATCACCCCCAACATGACATTTACTAAAACATCCCAGAAGTTTGGCCAGTGGGCAGACAGCAGGGCGAATACAGTCTATGGCTTGGGATTTTCTTCTGAACATCATCTTTCAAAAGTAAGTATAACTAATGAAAACCTCCTAGGAGGCCAAGTGACCTTAAGAATATTTGGTTATTGCTGTTTGCATCTTGACTCGCTACTGTTTTGTTACTCAAATCTTGTGTATACATCCTTGCAGGGTAAAAAGACAAGGTAAGAAATAATGGCAGTGAAGTTTTAACCTTCTCATATCTGGGTGGTGTGTTTGCTTTTGCCTTCTCCCTCCTTTTTTTTTTTTTAATTTATAGAGGAAAAGAGAGGTTTAAGATATTGCAAAGCATGATGTTTATGCTTTTTATGATTATTCATTTATTTTCTCTTTTTTTTAAAAGTTGTTCTTCCATTACATTTTTTTCATGATGGAATTTGAGAGAATAATTTAGTTTGTTCTGTATTTAGATTTTTTAGGAAAATATATAGATGAACTTTAGTTTGTTTTGGTGTTTTGCTTGCTTCACTTTCACATTCACTTCACTTTCACATTCACTTTCATTTCTCTGTTATGTGGTGCATATTGTCATGTTGGCAGATTTAAGGTTAAGCTAGTAAGAAGAATGCTCAAATACTAAATTTTCTTGTTTGAATACAAAAATTGAAGCATTAAAAATGAAACCCCACAACCTATGTAAATATTTTTCTGATCTATCTGTGTAGGAAGTCTGCTCTAATCCAAGAAAACTAGTTATTCTTTTCTTCATGAACTGATAGCATAATTGCTGTGAGCACCCCATTTACAATGCCGTTTATATGGATAGAGTCATATGTCATAGGAATATCTACCAGAAAGCAGTGTCATTTTCTCAGATAAAGAATTTCTGTTTTATTTGGGAAATATTCCCCTTGCATAAACAGAACTTTTGTAGTGTACCAAAGATATGGAAACCGAGATGCAATAAAAAGGAATGTATAGTAATCTACAGAATATGTTTGAGTAAGGAATAATGATTGCTTAATTTCTTTAAAAGGGCAGATCACTTGAGAAAGTAGTAATTGCCTAAGGATAAGCACGGGCCTTTTAGAAGAGTAGTTGAAAAAGTTGGTACATCTACTTAATTGGACAATATGATTCGTTTATAAGAATTCTTCCTTCCATAATGAGATAGCTTTCATTTCCACAGAACATAATAGTGCATATGTGCTTGTGCATTTATGCATATGTCACTGCATCAATAAGCTTAGAAACTGTAATTTACTTAAATTGGTGTAAATTGACTTAAATATATAGTAGAGGCACTTGCTCACCAAAATAGTGATAACCTCTGTTAATATTTTAAAGCCATATAGCGCAAGTGCTAATTTAGTTTGCCTCTTGTTTTTTTCTCTTTTTGCATTTGTCCTTTCCTTTACTTTCATTGCTTTCCCCACGTGATACTGCTTTTTCCATCACATGGTTTCATTCTTTCCTTGTTTTAGATGCCCTCAAAATGATTTATGTGTTATATATATTTATTATATTTATATATTTTATATATATTAAATATATATTTATATATTCTTGATGTACACTTGGCTTCAGACTTTATATTGCTGTTGTAACAATCATCTGGAAAGCTAAAGCAGACACTTTGTTAAAGGTACCCTTTTGAATAGCAGTTACTCAGGTTGCTATGATTTTGGACAAATTCACAAATCTTTTTGAAAAAATATGAAGCCACGGACTTATTTAGAAGATTATGGTGATGAATCCACAGGACCTTATCCGCAGACTGTTTTCTGTCTGAATTATTTTCATGTGAGTTAAAATTGCTAATCATTGCTGCTAAAATTAATGAAGGTGAAACTTCTTTTTTTTTTTCTGTCAGTTTTATAACAACACAAACAATTATTTGATGGGGAAAAGGAAACTTTTTGTCATCATCTTGGTAGATATGATCTTGGTATCAGAAAGCCTGAAGTATATACCCTGAATCTGCTGTGTAGCTTTAGATAAATCACGTCTATCTGAGCCAGAGGGACAAGACAAGACAACGAATTCTCAGTTCCGTGCCCTAGCACTGAAGTCAAGTACACCAAAGTAGTCACTTTGATACATGTGGTACTGTAAGGCATGAAATCTAATTCAAAGCTCAATGTACTATTGAATATTAGTAATAGTGCTAACAAACTGTATTCATGGATATATTCAGAAACAGATTGTTCCTAGATGTTTCCTAAAAATTGGATTTGAATTTACTTTTCTGTATTTGATTTAATAAAGACCCTAAGTGAAGAGCCCTATTATATATAATTTGCTTTGTACAGCATCTGTGGGCCTCAGAGAATGAAGCAAATCGGACAGAGAGAATAGAAGTTGTCTCTTAGTAAACTCTAGGTTCTCACACCATTCACAGCTGTGTCCTTAATCAAGCAGATCGTTTTTAAAGCTTGTAGTAAGGTTTTGACTCGTGGGCTATTCTTTTTTGGCTCGTGTGCCCTTGTCCTTCTAAATTAATACTGTTTAATGTAGTAGATTGCAACAGTGATAACTCCTTTTTCTATCATAATAGTGACTGAAAATTCACTAAGTGAGAATATCTTTGATGGAAAAATAGTCATTCTAATGAATTCTTCAGATGCGGACAGGATAAAAGAAAATTCAGCATTGGTTCATCTTCATCAGACCTTTACTAAGTATATCAGACCACCACACCATTGTTCATCTGAAGTGAAGCAGTAGTCAGTAAGACCTAAAAGATGATTCCTCTGTTGCAGAGTGTTTCTTTCCTCCACTGAATCGTGGCTTGCTAGCAGAATTGCTCTTGCTGCTGTAGTAAGTGGAATAGAATGTTCTATAATATTCACATAAAATTGCTGAAACGTTAACTTCTCAGCCACAAGACAAGGCTGTGCTTTTGATAGATTATCTCTCTTCATAACGCAGGACTCTCTCATATGTGCTCTCTCTTCTCTTTGAGATAGTTGGCCTGATTTATTCCAGATTATTTAAGAATATGCTAAGTAGCAATTGTACCATTAGGTGCTTGTGAGATCTTCTCATAATCTTCTTCTACAACTTTCCTTTAAATTGTTAATCTTTTCCTTGAGTCATTGTTCAGTGAACCCTTCTTATAGCTTAGAAACAACAGGGCTTTTCAGGAACTGAGTTTTGACTGAAATAGTTGAGGTGACTGTAGCATGTAGAAGTAGCCTTCATCTCTTCTACATGCTTGCAGTGCAAAGCAATTTCTTTGCATTCTGCTGCTGGATAAATTTAGAAGCTGTTGGTTAACTTTTTGTGTTTTTACATAATTGGTTCTATCTTAAGCTGACCATAGTAAAAATATATTCTATATAAAAGCAGTAACAATCCAAAATAAATGTTTGGATACTGTAGTGTTTGGTGTAGTATGAGGCTAGTTTCTTCTCTGGAAAGAGAATCTAGGCCATCTTAAATTTATCTCTTAAGTTTAAAGACACATGCATTTCTGAATTGCACCTTTGGCTGTTTGCAGGAAGAAAATGTATCAATATTCATATGGCAGTTCAATGTAGAATCCTTGAATTTAGCGCTCAATGTATGAGAGTGAAATTCAACAAATCCATTCTTTATTTTGGCTTAGGTCAACTGGCTCAGTATTCGTACTGCTGCTTTCTCATTTAGATTTGAAATTACAAATACTGTTAAAAAAAGGAAGAAACTAGTATTGTTTCAGGTATCAAAGAATGAAACCTCCTGAAGACTTCAGGGTAATATTGGCCTCAGTAGGCTTCAGAGCCAGATCACCCATTGTAAGGAAAACAAAATAAGAACCTGAAAACAGCTATTGAAGGCAATTTGGCACTGAATTAGCCACATCTGAGGTGTTTTTCTCCTATCAGCAAGAGATACTACTTTTGTTTTGTCCTATTTTTTTCTATCATATAAACAGTATGTAATGTCTGAAAGATATTTGTCACTGTAGCTCACTTAAATGAGTGTTTAATAAGGAGAAAAATTAAAAATCTACTGACAGAATTTGACTTTGTAAAATGTTAAGTATTACATTCTGTTCTGTGTGTAATGTAACTACTTCACGCCTACTCTCTCCCTCTCTTTCTCTCTCTTTCTCTCTCTCGCTATCTCTTAACATATGTACCTTCAGTTTGCGGACAAATTTCAGGAATTCAAAGAAGCTGCACGACTAGCAAAGGAAAAATCCCAAGAAAAGATGGAGCTAACGAGCACGCCCTCGCAAGTGAGTCTTAATTGCCTGATTTAAGCCTAGAACCTCATAGTCAAGAATTTATATTGCATCTTATCCACTTGTGTCTTATTGGAAATGATCAAGATACTTCCCAGTTCAGCCTAAAGACTCTATACAGTCAACTAAAAGTGTCAAAATGTCTGCTATGGAAGTGTCAAAGGGGCTCCTGAAAAGTAAAATAAAGTTAAATGAGGCTTCCCTCCCCCCTTCTTTTCAGCTTTCCACCAAAGAGGTTTTGAGCAAAGAGGGTGAGCAGTTATTCTAGTAAATCTATAATAAAAGAAACACACAGTGTTTTTTATTGCATCTGTGAAACTGAAGGAGATGCATAGTAAAGAACTTTAAAAATAATTCTTTCAACAAAAAGTCAAAGTGCCAATCACTTAAAATTTTGTCCTGCTATCCAGTATTCAGTTGTGAAATGTGTTGATGCAAGAAGAAAGATTAATGTGGAGATTCTGGAGTTTTATCACAGTTGGACATGTAAAAATTAAAAACAAAACAAAAAACCATATGAACAGTCCAACAGGAAGATAAATTAATATAGTCATATTACACCAGTCAAGCCTAAAATTAATTTACCTGAAAGTAAATATATTTTGAGTTTGTTTTGGAAAAAGAAATTGCATGAGGCTTTTATGCCTCTCCCTCCAAGTCTTTTTGACTCTAGGTGTAGCCATTTGTTTTATTTTAAGCAATAATAAAGACAAGGGTAATTCTTCCTCTTGAAGGAAGAAACAGCTTTAAAATTTTAGCAGGGATTAGGATTAACATAACAGACATTTTTTTTTCTCTCCCCTTCTCCTGGTTCTCCAAGGAATGCAGAATGCATCTGTGTTCACAGAATCAGTGCATCTCTTGAATGCTTTGTATTGCAGTGTGCTCCTAATCTTTGATGAATCCAGGATTTCAGGCAGTCTGCAGCATGCGGCGCAGATAGCGCTCTGGTGACAACAAACCTATAGCTGGTGCCCTTCCAAGAGAAGTCAGGGCAGCAACCACAAGAATATACACAATGAGCTAAGCTTACTTTTCCTGGTAGGCAGGGTGCCCAGGTGCTATGCTGGCTTGTAACATTGAAAGGGAATGGCTTGCTTTAGTACAACAGGAAAAAATGAGGCAGTGTTTTTTCATTAGTTTCCTTCTAATTCTCTAACCTTCTGATAAATTCTATGAATATGTTGATGACAGAAATAAAAATTTCAGTATTATAACCTGGTATATACTTGGCTTTATATACAGTGAAGTACTTAAGTAACTATAGAGGACTTGCTTAATATTATAGACAAAATAATTACTGTACTCTTTTGAGATACTGAGTAAGAGTCAGATTTCAAGCTAAATCTGACATTGTCAAATGAAGTTATTTGTGGGGCTCTTTTGTTTAGTTGAGGTGTTTTTTTTAATTACTTAGGCAGGACACCCAAGGTAAAAGGTTTCATCTTGATCTATATGAGCTATTAATATTGTTCATATTCTTGTACAGGTTACTCATAACCACTATTGAAGCTTAATATTCTACACTGTAGGCAGTTACAGAAATATTACCTTGAGCGACTCTGTAATGCATGTTGAGCTGCAATTTAATTACTGCACACTTAGGAATAATTTCGTATTCAGACCTTACCTTTCATCTCTCGGCTTTTAGCCATGTTGATAAGTTAGTGTATTATTCCAAAAGATACAGTTAGTGCAAGTGCTGACACATCAGCATAATAGTCTTCACATACCTAATGCTTCTCTTTAGTTCCCCAAAGATAAAGGAGGTGAATCAGGAACTTCGGGGTTAGGAGCAGATGAAAAGCAGTGGCTTCCTGGCAGCCTGCTGCACTTCTTGGGTGCTTCAAGGCACTGGGGCTTGTTCAGAGATGATGGGGGAGAGGGTGGAGGAGAGGGAGAGGGGTGCTTGGCAGTGGGGACCCTAGGGACACTTGCAGGAGCATTCTCTGCTTTTGATCACCTCCCCAAAAGTGGCTGTAAAGGCACGTAATGCCAGTATTGCCATTCTTGATCATTTTGCAGTGTTTTTTTTCCTTTTGTATAGTGATGATTTGCCGAGAGGGAATGGAAAAGAGGAAGGAGAGGTAGCATCTTGACAGCCAAGATTTCTCAAGAATGTGGCTTTTCAGGAGGTTTTGACAGGAAAGGCCTTGGGAGGTAGCGTGTGGTCCTTAGTAACACTAGCAGTCACCTACAACCATCAGTTCTTCTCTGGATTTTACAGAGTTCTGCATCTAATAAAGAATAAATAGGAAAATACTGCACATCGCACCTGACAAATATACATACAAAGGTTATATAAAATATGTTGTTTGTCTTGATATTGCTTTAAAAAGTCTCTTCTTACTATTTAACAGTTAAAGTACCAGATGCAGCACATTGTCTGCCCTCTTACATACAACATACAGTCATTACATACAACATAACTGTGGGTCAATGGAGTGCTTTTTCCCCTCTTTCTCCCCATTTTCAATTTTCAGATTCAAGTATCCACCCAAAGAGCCCAGTTGTGGGTATGCACCTCTCCCCATGAGTCTTCCACCAACTGCAGTGTGAATCTCCATTCTTTTTTTAAGGCAGAAGCTGTCCTCAAATCTTTCTCGAGACCATGGTAACTTCAACTAAAGACTCTTGTTGTGTGGCAAGCGTCTTGTTCCCAGTAGTCAGATTCTTGTCTCATTGTGGGACAGTACTCCTGTGCAGACTCATAGGAATAGCAATTGACTGATTTGGGGGAGTTTGGTATCACAGTGCTTTTGTAGAGCAAAGAATAGACTGATTTTGGCAAAATAGGCACGGCTTTATCACCTATTGCCTCTTTTTTTTTTGAACGAAGTTTACTTTCAAAGTTTGTAAAGGACTCTACGACACCATGTCCTGGAACAAACACTGTGTACCTGTTATGGCATCTGCATCCATAGCTGTTGGCCTTGGGCTGTTCCCGGTGTGTGCTAAACACAAGCTTGCTGAAGAACCATGGCTACAGGAGAGAGCAGAGAAAACTTCCTATATATAGTAAGCTGGGATTAACAAGAAAGCTTCCAGTTCAACCATCTGGAATGGGTTTGCTTTCTTCATAATTTTGGAGCCCAACTTAATTGTTAAGCACCTACTCCATATCTGTTTCTATTCCATATTTGGTGACTGGAAAAGGCCTCTTCTCTGTTACAGGATCTGTGTGTTTTACTTCAGAGTGGTTTTTTTTTTTTTTCCTGAGTGCATATATTTCCTTTATAAGATTCTGAAATCATGTTGGGATGTCTTTTGCTGAATTCCCCTCTGCTGTGCTTAGTTTGTAGACTCTAGGCAGTATTCTCTTCATACTACTCTATTACCAGTATCCTGGTGATACACTGATTACTAGTGCCAGAGCTCCATCTGACAGTGCAGATCTCTGAATAACTCTTAAATAGCAAAATACTCCTGATTCACATTTTTTTTCACTTTAAATAATGATAATCCTCAGTCAATGTCAAAGGCAAATGAGTGATTTGAAGATCAGTATCTTCCAAAAACTTGTGAATTGATAGTGATTTTATACCACAGAAGAGCTGATGATCCTTTTTGTCAAATGTACAAAAATATCTATTTATAATTCTCATGAGTGAGAAATATCAGGTCTTAAAATATGCCATGGGTTTGCTGGAAGGTGTTCAAGTTTTTTCCTTCTTTATATACTTTTTAATAAATTTTTTCATACAGTTTCTATACAGATGAAGATTAGTTCTATGTTACCTTGAAATATATCAGGTCAACTTAAAATACATATATAAAGCTTAGCTTAAAATTTATATTTAAGTAGACCATAATTTTTTCTTCAAACTCTATAAAATTTGAAGTAGATCGTAGAAACTAATAAAACTGTTACTCAAGAACATCTCCCAAAAATGTTTCTAGAACTCTTTTATGCTTTTTAAGTACTATAAAATATAAAAATATTATTTGCAAGCTCAACTTTGTTAGCTTGTTTTTTTGACTTTTATAGCTTTTCTTCTGTTTCTTTTGGTACTTTATTTGTTGCCAGATTCATTATTGTTGGCTGCAGATAAATTATTTACCAGACAAAGATAGTTTTGAGTCTGAGCATTGATTGATCTGTGTTATTGGAAGAAATACAGGCTAGAACGTCATGCTGCTCTGCTATGTACAATTCTGCTTGTCAGAAATTTGTAAGCAGGAAGTCTTTATAAATTATATAGACCAAGACATTTGCTTGCACTGATTTTTCATATGAAGTTTGTCTGAGTTAGAAAACTATCGGTCTTTTAGCCTTATTGAAAAACAAACCTTACTGGAACTTGCAGTTTGATTTCTTTTGTAGTGAAATCATTTTAATGCTTTTATACAGATTTTGTTTATGAATAAGCTCTTGTTATATATCTAACAGTGCTATAGGAATTTTAGTTTAAAGAGGATAAGTAAACCAGACTTGTGGAGAAATTGTATTATTTATGAACATCTAATGTGGCTGGGGGAGAGGAGAGAAAGGCCAAAAGTCATCATTTTTAATGTATTAATGCATATGTTTGATTATCTTGTCAACTCTGTTTTCCTTTTGCGCTTAATTTCAATTCATTTTCAGTTCAGTAAAACTCAGTTTTGTGGAAATCAAGGTTTAGTTTTGATTTCTAAATAATAGCAATAAAGAAAAGATTTTATGAGTATAAAAGAACAAGCTTGCTTCTGAAACAGTTTACATTTGCATAATAAATATTAACATTTATATGGTAAATGATTTGCATTTATATAATAGATCAGTGAAAGGTTCTGCTTTCTAATCATCAGGAATGGAATAGGAAGGCACAGAATGGAGATACTAGTGTATGTACATTGCATAACTTGATGAATATTAAATATAATAAAATTTTAGATTAGTATTAAAATATTGTAATTTAATTCTGTATCATCCACTAATGCAAGCTGTAGAGTAAGAGTAACACTCTATGTGGGAATAAAAGCAAAATTTTTGGTAGTTGTTGAACGGTGGGCTGCAAATGTTGAATGTTATTTAAAGCGCGGTGAAAACTTGAACCCGTGCTGTTTTAGGTTATTTGATGACCTAAACCTAAAATAACCTAAATAACCTTTGTGGAAGGTGATGATAGTGGCTGGAGCTTGTTTTCTGTAACTGAATTTTCTCATCTGGTTCATCCTTAAAGTCAAAGACAACTCTTTCAGTAGATGTAGATCAGATTCAGTATTGACTTTCAAAAACTCTTATTCCTGTAAATGAGTTGAAGGTTACAAATGCAACTAAAGGCTCAAAATTAGAAACTGGTGGGTTCTTTTGTTTTGTTTTTTTTTTAAATCCTGAGCATCTCCAAATACTTTCAGTTTTCTGTTCCTTTTGACAACTCAGCTCCCTATGCAGGGTGTCAAGGAGCTGGGAAGGGTGGCAGCCACAATTCCCAAGACTTTTCTTGTGCTTCAGTCTGAAAATGTCTTCTCCTCTCCATGCAGACAGTAGGAGCCTGCAAGGCCTTAGGAGATGGTTAACTTTTGGGAGTGTTGCAAGTACAACAGTTGTTTGCTGTGTGGGCATCCCCCCTTGCCAGCTGTGGAACTCTCTTCATGCAGCCCTTCCATCTTAAATGTTAAATGTTAACATTTAATTAAATGTTGCCACTTGATTACTAAAAGCCCACCAAGACATTCTGACGTCTGAGTTATTTAGCTTCTATGACATGTTTATGTCCAACAGTGCAACAGTTCTTACTTGGAAAGAGAAGTATACAGAGTTTGAAAAGCCCATAATATTCAAACATAGCTTGTGGGCTACGGTGTCCTTTGAGATTTTGTTTGTTTTTTTCTTAAGAATGAGATACTAATCAATCACAGGAAATAAGCAAAGAGTCTTTGATGGTTAAAACAAAGCAAAGAATCTTTGATGTTAGTGTGATGAGGTGTGATAAAACTGCCCCTTTCCTCCTGCCAGCCATTACCTCCAGCAGAGGAAACTGCATGTGTGTAGGTTCTTTCTTCCAGGCAGAACCTGTGAAGAGCCGAGGGCCCAGCTGAGGCTGACATGTCTTTATAAATGTCTCATGGGAGAAACTGAATGTCCTCAGCAACAGCTCTTCTACTGTTAGCTTTGGCTAATACAAATATTATAGCTAGATCTTGAAATAAATATCAAGATTGCTTGTTTCTCCCTCTTAGAACAGAAATGAAGAGGTAAGAATGCTGGGTGTGAGTGGTTGTCAATCCTTTAGCTGCCTGAGGGCTGAATGTAATATCAGCTAAGAGATAGAGGTCTACAAATTGAGTAAGCAGGAGGCTGGGTACCTACAAATAAATCAGAGGTCAGTTGTGCTTTTAGTGTGATAATCTCATGGTCTAAACTTCTAAGTCATCACATGATAAAATATGAATATAAGACATGCTGGAAAGCTGTGAGTTTCACATTACTTTTGCCAGAAGTCTTTTTGTCTCATCATTTCATGTTAGAGTTTATATGCACATGGACTTTGAGTAGATCAGCTTGTAATTGAAACTTGTTGTTTATTTGTTTTACTCAAGGAATCAGCTGGAGGGGATATTCAGTCTCCTTTAACGCCCGAAAGTATTAATGGAACAGATGATGAGAGAGCAACGCCAGAAGTGACACAGAACTCAGAACCAAGGGCTGAACCAACCCAGAACGCATTGCCATTTACACATAGGTACAGATTCCATTCCCACATCCTGATCAAGTGATACCTGCTTCCTTCCTTGTTAAAGGGACCTTCTTTTATGAGGTAGCTTTCACAAGCCACAAGTAGCACAATTATGAATTAATTTAAAATGAAAAATATAAAGGACTGGCTTTCAGATTATCTGTATAATCTTTTTCTCCACAAAAAATGGCAAAAAAGTTGCTTTTTTAAATATATAATTTATAACACATACAAGGACTTGAACTTTGGTGAGTGCTGGTGTCCCTTTAACAGGAAGCAATATTTAAATGTCTGAGCTCTTAGTGAAGTTAACCACTTCTTTTCAATTTGTTTCAATTCAATTACTTTTGTGGATTTTACTCAAATGATGGATGATACTAGATGTCAGCCTTCCAGTGATGAGTTATGGCGGGATTAGGGACCTTTGTAGCACTTCAGGATCATGTGATTTAAAACAGCATTTTATTAAAAAAAAAAAACCCTGATGGTTGAAAACATTTTTCAACTTTTTTAAAATGTGAGAGAAGGGTAGTTGTACTTCAGAGTGAATTATATTTCATTGCACTAGAAAAGTTGTGCTTCATTGTTTTTCAAGTCTAGGACTCTTTTCTTAATGATACCAATAATGTGTTAAGATCTCTTGCATATGAGATACCACTGAAAGTGGTACACTCTCAATAAAACAGGTTAAGTACTGAGACCATAGAGAGTAACTTCAATATTTAATTAACTACCAAAGCTGGAAACACTTTTTTGATGCATGGTCTTGATTCAGTTTAAATAGAGTTTAAGAGCTCTTGATCAGTGTCTCAAAAGTTGGGGAACTCTAGAACTTGAAAATGTATGAATAATTCACAAAAAACAGAGAGGGAATTGGAATTGTTCAAGAATTCTAATGTTTTATAAGAGAATGTATCTTGGAAGAAATCATTTTCAAATGATAAAGCACAGTTTTGCACTAATTTTTTTTAGCAGAGTGATTGTGTTTATTTTTATACTGCAACTGTTACTAGTGCATCTACTCATGTTGAAGAAATGGTGCTTTGTAAGAGTGCTCTTTGCATGTTGAAGGAATGTTACAAATGTTGCACATCTATCAGTTTTGTAAACATTTCATTTGAACTTGTTTCTGTGCTGGAACTGGTCATTGGTATTTTTGTGAGTTGTGATGAAGTCTGCAAGTCTCTACATTAATAGTGTATAAAAAAATGGATAGCTGCAAGATCTTCCCTCCTTTTATATGTAAATGTTTTCTGATATGCCAATATGGATAACTACACATTGCATTGAGGACTAGATATTCTTTGAGACAGCCCACTTGTAATTTTCATGGTCTAGAATATAGATAAGAAAAATTAGATTTTGCATTTTTCTATGTATTTGATGTATGCACTGGGTATGTTAATTTCTGGTTTATTGTCCTGTTTGGTACCCATACCTACAGTTGATCTTTCGGTGTCAGTGCTACATTTAGAGGGTACCCTTTGAGTGTCAAAAGACTCAAGGTTTTGTCTTGCTATTGGAAAGTACCTCTTTGTCAGTGAGCTATTACTGAGTAAAGAGCAAGTTTCTTTCAGAAACCCATTGACCTCAACTGAATTTTGGCCTAAGTGGAGTTTTTATTACTATAATTAAAGACCTATTGGCCACTCTTCTATTGAAAAACACAACTGAGACTATTTACATACTAGTATTTAATCAATACCACACAGAAAGGACTCTAAAGTGCTTTCTGACAATAGTTATATACACACATACACACACACATACACACACACACATAGAAGAAAGTTCTAGGATGCTAACCCTAGTAGGACTGAGCTAGTCAGGGTTAAATGGACACATTTTTGAAGTGTTCTTGCATAATATTAAGTAGGGCAATTATGTTGCCTACTTAATATTTTAGGCAACTGTGTGGCCTACCACATGAAGGCCTAGGCAATTATGTTGCCTAGTTGCTTGTGCTGTCTGGTAGGGTAGTTAGCCGATTTGCTTGTTTGCTTTTATTAGAAAAATATATATATATATTAATCCCTATACCCAAATCATCAGACTATCTGGGCTTCTCCAAGGATATGGAAGGGCTCATGCTCCACCGTGTGCCTGGCCGTTTGGGTGCCACTGGCTCTCAGCAGCACTCCATGCTTGCTGGGAAGACAGTGCCGTGCTGAACTTTCCCTGGGTGCCTTGTTACTCCTGGCAAGCACTGAGCGCCTTCCTCCTGCACTCAGTGTTTGAGCAGAAGTAACTAGTCAGTGCTCCTGAGCAAGGAGGAGAGGGTTTGGGAAGAGCTTAAATTTTGCTTTCTTCACTTTTTCTCCTGCACCAACAGGAGCAGGCCTCAGTGTAGGCTGCAAATGCAGGGAAGTGGAGCAAGGCTTTGCAGGGCAGCCAGCACCAGGGCTGTGTTCTAGGCTGGGGCAGGGAGAGGTGCACTCTGTGCAAGTGCCACTGTCCCCCACCATGGGGACCTCAGAGACTGCACTGCCTGCTGAGTGAGGCAGCCAGCACAGCTGAGAGCAAGCGCCTCTGAGTGTGGAGCAGATTATATGAGCTGGAAGGGACTGACAGGAGCTAACAAAGTTGGAAATGAGCAGTGTGAATCTACATCTTATTAGTTGGCATCTTTTGTCTGCACGCCTGGAAAATGTTTGATTTTTGGTTATAACGTCCCCTCCCTGGCCAGACATGTTGTCTTGCACAGGCATTCATCCCTGCGCTCTGGCCGTGCAAGTATAGGCAGCTGGGGCATGTGCTGTTTCAGCGAGCTAAGCACAGACTGCTTTGGTGTTTATAAATGGTAAGGAAGCAACTCCATCCAAGAAGTGTTATTTCAGTCACCAGAATTTTGTTGTTAGGACCTTGATTTCTTATTATTTCAGTAAATAATTTTAAGTATTGCTTATAACCTTCTCTAGTAAATATGTACAATCCCATTCATATCCTGTGAGCGTCACAGAGCAACAGTCAGTCTAGTTGCTTCAATTTACCCTTAATTGGAAAGTCTTAAAGCATTTCACAGCAGTGTGACTCGAGCGAACTATTTGAGAGGAAAAGATATTAAGTAGTATTGTGAACATTACTCAGAAAGATAGACTCTTGCAATTAAACCTTTTTTTATTATTATTTTTTTAAATTGTGCTGGTTGATGTTGAATTACTGAGAAATATTACATGATAACTCCCACTTCTTATAATATAGTATACACTGAATACTGCTTGCATTACTAAATATTGCCAGAATAAATGAAAATTAAGAAGAGCCTAAGCCAGGCATTAGAAAGCTTTAAAAATCTTGTTTGAGACTGAGTTTTTTTTCTGAGCAATGATTTGTCCAGGTAGGATTGTTTCTAACAAAAGCTGGTGTATCAAGACCAAGGTTTAAAATAAGGAAGACCTTTAAAACATGAAAAAAGCACAGGCCTTTCCTAACTAACTTTCAGTCCCCACTTTTCCACCTTTTTTTTGGCAAGTGTTGTTGTTTGCTTAGTAGAATAAAAATCTTGATTGTAAAATGGTGTTTCAGGAGGAAAAAAAAGTCGTTCAAATGTTTGTAACCACCTCCGATGTGACCTTTCTTGTAAGTGTAACTTAATACACATTAAGTATGAGCTGGTGCATAGTGTACACTTTCTACTTGTCTGGATAAGCCCAAAGGAAAGATATTCTAAGCTTAATAAGCCTGAGAATATTGTTTACATATTAAAACTGGAGAGTGTATCTGATGAACTCTGCCACTGCTGCTCGGGTTTTTTGGCGACTGTTTGGTCAAGTAATTTTTACAGTCTTAAAAATAAATACATTTGCTTATAACAGGTTTCATACCATTTCTATACACCTTATAAAGTGCTAAATAAATATGGAAAATATGTATCTTCAGAAACAAGACTTAAATATAAGAGAATTCTTTTGGGACAGATCTTGAAAATCTTTGATTTTCTGTCAGCCATGACTTAAACATGTTACTTCATTTCTTTGTGTGATACATAATGGTGTTCCATTTTAACTTAAAACTTGGAATTCTATTACATAGTATTTTGATCAGACAATATATATGTGTGCTCATTGCTTGTTTATTAAAATTCCTATTTTTGTATACAAACAGATTTTTAATATGAATTTTTGACTCATTGCCTTAGTGAAAATGGACTTACTTCAAATTGTTTCTATCTTAGATATTTTATTGTCTAGAAAGCTTACCATTTAATAATGCTGCATGTAAATCTAATGCTGTAACAAAAAAAAAAAAAAAAAAAAAAAATCCAGAATCTTGCTGCTAGTCCATGTTTCTGCACTGAGTTTTCATTAAAGGTTGTATGCAGAAATCTGTTTAGTAGATTTTTCACTTCGTGTACAAGCTTTAATATTTTAGCTATGTTGCAGTAAAGTATTTTTTGGATCATGTTCATTTGTTGTTTTTTCAAAAGAAATTAAGTTGATATCCTTGTAAGGTTTTGGAATTTGAATTCATACTCAGGTCCTAGTAACTGGTAATTCTATATAGTGTTTATATATATATGTATGTATATATACCTTTTTTTTTTTTCTAATGCTGTTTAACACGATTAGCTTTGGGTTGGAGGAGACCTCAGGAGGTCTCTAGTTCTAGATGACCTCTTGCAGCAGGTCAGCAGTGAGAGCAGATCAGGTCACTCGAGGCTTTATTTTGGAACAACAGACTGATAAAGACAGATTTTTTTCAAAAATGATTTCTCTATAACATGAAAGATGAAAATAATATTTTTCAAATTATATATTAATATTTTTAGACATGCTAGAAAAACTCTAGTAAATGCACTTATTTGGCAGAGAAAGGCATACTTAGAAAGGTGACTTGTTCCCCCATCAAAGCACGGGTTAATGCACAAAGAACTGGGTAGTGGACAGCAGCTTCAGAGCAGCCTTGGCCTCCCCTCAGCCAGGACTTGCGTAATGCTGTGAAGGTTTCAGCTCTGTGCTCCAGCAGTAGATACTGGGCTGGTCTCACAAAGGGGTCTGGTGTCCCCT